ATATAAACCATAGAATTGAAGAAAAATTGTATTAATATCGTATGTTTCTTTAAATTGATTAAAAGAGAGAAATTCATTGTTCTCATTCAGTAAATCATTGACAAAAAATATTCCTGCCTCACACCATTTTTCATAGAAAATAGTTTTATTATCAATTTTTAAAAGTGCATTAAACCAAATAGGTTGGCCTATAAAGTCATTTTGGTCATGGGCAGCATTCCTCAGTTTGGCCCAATTAAGAAGGATGTCCTTCCAAAATCTATTAAAATATATTGAAATTTGTTTAATACTATCCTTATTCATCATCCATATTTTATCTGCACCATATTTTCTATATTTATCATTGAAAAGAATTTTCCAAGGAGAAAGATTGAAAGGGTCCAATAATTTATAGATCCATGTCATTTTCAGTGCATAACAGAAGGATTCAATATGAGGCATCTTTAGCCCACCAGTATCATATGATCCAATTAGAACATTTCTTTTGATTTTATCTGGTTTACCATTCCATAGAAACTTAAAAAAAATATTTTCAATTTTCTTAAAATTTTCAAAAGAGGGATTTGGCAATATTGTTAATGACTGAATGAGAATTGGCAATGCTAAAGACTTTATGACTGTAATTTTTCCTAGGTATGAAAGATCTTGGTAAATCCAAGTATTTAATAATGCATTTATCTTTTCAATTTTCTCTTCAAAATTATAGGCAGTCTTGTCGACAGCAAAAAGATCATAGTTTATACCTAAGAGTTTAAATTTCCCTGTCTGATTCCAGTTTAATCTTTCTTCTTGGTGAAATATTTCTTTTGAATGTGCTTTTGACCCAATCCAAATGGCTTCTGTTTTTTCTAAGTTTGCTCGTAAACCAGAACACTCGGAGAACTTTTCTAAAATATATAGAGATTGTTCTAACGACTTTTCATCATCATCTAAAGTTAAGGTTGAGTCATCTGCATATTGACTAAGCATATATTCAGAGTTGTCTATCTTAATACCATTAATATCTGGGTTATTTTTCATTGCTGCACTCATCAGTTCCAAAGCCAGTATAAAAAGGTAAGGGGATAAAGGATCCCCTTGACGAACCCCTCTTTCTATATTAAAGAAGCTAGAGCAATGACCATTATTTATGATACAACTTTCGATATTGAAATATAAAGATTTTACCCAATTACAGAAATCAGGACCAAAACCTAAGAATTCAAGTGCTTTATTTATGAATGACCATTCAAGCGTATCAAATGCTTTTTCAAAATCTAAAAGGAGTAAAAGTCCAGGTATATTTTCTTCTTCAGTTCTTTCTATTAAGTCAAAAATAAGTCTTGTACATTCCCCAATGTATCTACCTTTAATAAATCCTAACTGTGTTTCACTAATAATAAGTTTGAGCAAGGGTTTAATTCTATTTGCAATAGATGCGGAACATATTTTCATATCAACATTTAAAAGGGTGATAGGACGCCAGTTTTTTAAATAAAACTTAGATTTCCCTTCTTTTGGGATGCATGTAACAATGCCTTGTCTTTGCGAAATTGATAAAGAGCCTTCTTCAAAGCTATAATTAAAGGAATTAAGTAAATAGAACTTAAGGTCATTCCAGAAAAATTTATAAAACTCTGCTGTGTACCCATCTACCCCTGGTGATTTATTATTTTTCATGTTTTTTAAAGCATTCAGACATTCTTGAGTTGATAATTTTCCCCCAGCTTCTAACATTTGTTCTTCCGATAGACAATTGATAAAAGAGTTATTTTTGTTGAAAAACATATTTTCATGTTCCATTTTACAAAATGCATTTTTAGATGAGTACAAATTTTTATAGAATTTTCTCTGTTCTTCCAATATTTTGAATTGATCAAAGATTTCATCTCCATTTTCGTTGATAACTTTAGGAATAATTTTTTCATTATAATGTCTTTTTTCTAAATTACAAAAGTAGTTTGTACATTTTTCTCCTTCTGCTTCCCATTTTGCTTTTGCCCTTGCAATTATACCATTTATTTTTTTTCTCTTAATGTTTTTAAGCTCTCCTCTATGTTTTGAATTTCAGTTTTTAGTTCCTGATCTGGGTGTAGGTCATATCTATTTTGTAAAATGTTTAATGGTTGTTCAAGTTCAGATTCTTCCCTTTGACTTTTATTTTTTTAAATATGAAGTATAAGAGATAGTTTTCCCTCTTATTGTACATTTCAATAACTCCCAAAATATATGGGGGTCTACAGATAATTCTGTTTCTTCCCCCGTATCTGTATTTGATAGGTTATATTGATTAACAGTGTCTGATATACACTTTTTAATCTCAGCCACATAAAAAGTATCATGAAGTAAGCTATTATTGAATTTCCAAGTACCCCTCCCCCTTTCTTGGTTATAAAATTTTAAACTGAGAGAAACAGGAGAATGGTCAGAACGATAGCTAATATCTATATCAGATTTATTTACTAAGGATTCAAAATCAGTGGATATAAAAAAATAGTCTAAACGACTTTGTTTATGTTCCGGGCCTCTCCATGTATATCTTTTCTTGTCTGAGTTATTTGCTCTCCAAACATCCACCAAGTCTAAGGAGTTCTTTATTTCTATAAGTTTAGAGTGCGCTTTGACATTAGTTTTTGTTCTATAATTAATTGTATCAATTTCATAATCTTGAACTACATTCCAGTCTCCCGCTATAATGATTGAAGAATTTTGAATATTTGAGATTACCTCCTGTACTTCTGAGAAAAAACCTGGATTGTCATTATTTGGGCCATATATACCAGCTAAAGTTATTCGATACTCATGAATGGTCATATCCAAAATTAGATAGTTTCCCTCTTTATGTTTGTATTCTTTATGAACAATAACTTTGAATTTATTATTTAGAAGTATAGCAACTCCCCTGCTGTGTCCGGTAAAAGAGCTAAAATAGGCTTGGTATCCCCATTCCCCATTCATTTCTCCATTGATTTTCTCTTTCTTTTGTGCAATGTGTATCGCATAAAATAGTTATATCATATTTTTTATTACATCTATCAAAAATATCTCTGCGTTTTACTTCTTCTGACAGTCCCCTGCAATTAAGAGCTCCTATAGTAACTGCCATAGTACAAAAATTTTTAAACTAAGTTGCATATATGCATGTATACATGTATATGTAATCAAATAAATCAATTGTAAGTTTGTATTGGTTTGAATGAGGGTTTGTAACAGTGGTTTCCAAACATAAATTGAACAGAGAATGAAGTTTGGAAAGGGGTAATGAATACAGTTTCGTGCGAATGTGATGAATACCTATTGGCTTTTGTATAAATGGCAGTAAGTCATTAATAGAGACATCATGCAAAGTAGGTGATGTATAATGACGATGACCATGACTGCGTCTACGTCGAGGAGTAGAGTTGAAAATATTCATCACATTCACCGAGCTACAGGAAGGACTAGATAGAATACCTATACCATCAATTTTGTCATTGCAACCATATGGTGTCGCAGTTCCCAATTGTCGAATCCAGTAGTCCTCTTTTTGTCTACGGAGAGGCGTTGCAAGTTGAGGATTGTTAGCCTTGTGGTATATTTTTTCGATTATACGAACTGTCATAGAAACGATGGAATGAGTTGACCTACTGCTTTTTTAAAAGGACCTTATCACGTTTTTTTTAACAATAACCACTGATCCATGAAATGAGGTCGATAAGTGAGAAATCTATATGACAAAAATACTGTTATTATTTTAAGCAATAGCTGAACCATTAAAATGAGGTCATGGATAAATGGCAGACGGAAACTTCACAAAATAATGCATCTTCATACAAGATATGACCCTTCTAGGTCTTCTACCATCTGAAATTATATAGAGCTTTATACAAATAGTTTACGCCGCGACTATAGGCGAGACATAAAAAACTGAGGCTTCAAGGAGCCTGTGTCGTTCACCTGATATTTTTGTTTACAATTGATGCATGAAATAATGCAACCACTATACTTTTGCTTTAGTTAAGAGATATAAGCCAAAAACTGCATTTTACCCATATGTTCTATTTTTAGATATGTCAGCCATGTTGCTCCATTGGAACAGGCATATATACAGAATGTAAGCCGACGATACCATTTACCAAATATCATATGCATGTTAAGTATGTGTTCTCGTGTGTCTCTGTTCCTCACCAAGCCGACTAAACCCTTTACCCCATACATAGCCCATCACAGTCATGAGATTTATCATGTTTATCACATGTGACTTAACCTTTTCCCACAGTTATGAGGTTTATCACTTGTATGTGTTCTCATATGACGTTGTAAATTACTAAGATGACTAAACTTGTTACCACATACATTACAGTCAAGCAGTTTATTAACTGTATATGTTCTCATGTGAATCTGTAAGTTGCTAAGACGAATTAAATCTTTACCACAAACATCAGTCATGAGGTTTATCACATGTATGTATTCTCATGCGTCTTTGTAAATGACCAAGCAGACTAAAACCCTTACCAACAACATCACAGTTATGAGTTTTATCACCTGTATGTGTTTTCATGTGACGTTGTAAATTACTAAGATGAATAATCTTTTTACCACATATATAACAGTCTTGAGGTTTTTCACCATTATGTGTTTTCATGTGTCTCTTTAAGTCACTACCTAAACTAAAACCTTTACCACAAACATCACAGTCATGAAGTTGTTTGCCTGTATGTACTCTCGTGTTTTTGTAAATGAGCAAGCCGACTAAACACTTTACCGCATGAATCACAGTCATGAGATTTTAAACCGGTATGTGTTCTCATGAGTCTCTTTAAGTCACTACCTTGACTAAACCATTTATTACATACATCACAATCATGAGGTATATCAAATGTATGTGTTTTCATGTGACGTTGTAAATCACTCAGATGAATATTTTTTACCACATATATTACACTCTTGAGGTTTTTTCACCATTATGTGTTCTCATGTGTCTCTTTAAGTCACTACCTTGACTAAAACCTTTACCACATACATCACAGTCATGAAGTTGTTCACCTGTATGTGTTCTCATGTGTTTTTTGTAAATTAGCAAGACGACTAAACCCTTTACCACATGCATCACAGTTATGAGGTTTATCACCTGTATGTATTCTCATGTGTCTCTTTAAGTCACTACCTTGGCTAAACCCTTTACTACATACATCACAGTTATGAGGTTTTTCACCTGTATGTGTTATCATGTGTCTTTGTAAATGGCCAAGCAAACTAAAGCCTTTACTACAAACATTACAGTCATGAGGTTTTTCACCAGTATGTATTCTCATGTGTCTCTTTAAGTCACTACCTTCACTAAACCCTTTACCACATACATCACAGTTATGAGGTTTATCACCTGTATGTATTCTCATGTGACGTTGTAAATTACTAGGATGATTAAACTTTTTGCAACATACTTTACAGTCATGCGGTTTATCACCTGTATGTGTTCTCATGTGTCTCTTTAAGTCACTACCTTGACTACAACCTTTACCACATACATCACGGTCATGAAGTTGTTCACCTGTATGTGTTCTCATGTGAATCTTTAAATTACCATGTTGACTAAACCCTTTATCGCAAATATCACAGTTATGGGGTTTTTCACCTGTATGTACTCTCATGTGTCTTTTTAAATGATCAAGCAGACTAAACCCTTTACCACAAACATTACAGTTATGAGGTTTATCACCAGTATGTATTCCCATGTGAATCTGTAAATTACGATGCTGACTAAACCCTTTACCATATACATTATAGGCATGATACTTATCTCCTGTATGTATTCTCATGTGTCTCTGCAAACTACTACGCTGGCTAAATCCTTTACCACATACATCACAGTCATGAAGTTGTTCACCTGTATGTGTTCTCATGTGTTTTTTGTAAATAAGCAAGACGACTAAACCCTTTACCACATGCATCACAGTTATGAGGTTTATCACCTGTATGTATTCTCATGTGGCTCTTTAAGTCACTACCTTGGCTAAACCCTTTACTACATACATCACAGTTATGAGGTTTTTCACCTGTATGTGTTATCATGTGTCTTTGTAAATGACCAAGCAAACTAAAGCCTTTACTACAAAGATTACAGTCATGAGGTTTTTCACCAGTATGTATTCTCATGTGTCTCTTTAAGTCACTACCTTCACTAAATCCTTTACCACATACATCACAGTTATGAGGTTTATCACCTGTATGTATTCTCATGTGACGTTGTAAATTACTAGGATGATTAAACTTTTTGCAACATACTTTACAGTCATGCGGTTTATCACCTGTATGTGTTCTCATGTGTCTCTTTAAGTCACTACCTTGACTACAACCTTTACCACATACATCACGGTCATGAAGTTGTTCACCTGTATGTGTTCTCATGTAAATCTTTAAATTACCATGTTGACTAAACCCTTTATCGCAAATATTACAGTTATGGGGTTTTTCACCTGTATGTACTCTCATGTGTCTTTTTAAATGATCAAGCAGACTAAACCCTTTACCACAAACATTACAGTTATGAGGTTTATCACCAGTATGTATTCCCATGTGAATCTGTAAATTACGATGCTGACTAAACCCTTTACCATATACATCATAGGCATGATACTTATCTCCTGTATGTATTCTCATGTGTCTCTGCAAACTACTACGCTGGCTAAATCCTTTACCACATACATCACATTCATGAGGTTTATCACCTGCATGTGTTCTCGTGTGAATCTGTAAACTACCAGACTGACTAAATCATTTACCACATACATCACATTCATGAGGTTTATCACCTGCAGGTGTTCTCGTGTGAATCTGTAAACTACCAGACTGACTAAATCCTTTACCACATACATCACAGTCATGAGGTGTATCACCTGAATGTGTTATCATGTCTTTTTGTAAATTACTGACTTGAATAAATTGTTTACCACATTCATTACATTTATAAGACTTATCTCCAGTATGTGTTTTCGTGTGTTTCATCATGTGTCTTTTCAGATTACTACCTGCTGTCCTGCAGTAAATTTTCTATTACAAATTTCACATTGATGACATTTTTCACAAGTGTGTGTTCTCGAGTGTCTCTTTAATTCACTACCTTGACTAAATTCTCTAGCACAAACAATACAGTTGTGACATTTTTCACAAGTGTGTGTTCTCGTGTGTCTCTTTAATTCACTACCTTGACTAAATCCTGTAGCACAAACATCACATTTATGACATTTTTCACCAGTGTGTGTTCTCGTGTGTCTTTAATTCACTACCTTGATTAAATTCTTTAGCACAAACATCACATTTATTTACATTTTTCACCAGTATGTGTTCTCCGGTGTCCATTTAAGTCACTACCTCGAGTAAGTTCTCTAGCACAAACATCATGTATGTGTGTTCTTATACCACTCTATAAGGAAAAAAAAGACTAAATCCTTTTGATATCTCCCTGTTAATAACGTATAAAATATCTATGTTGTATACACTCTTTTGGTGTAATGAACTTTGCATTTATAATGTTTATGCATCTGCATGTCTGGGTAACTCTACTTTAATACTTTTTATTATGACATGTACAAGTAGTATATATGTAACACTCAGAAACATGTCCAATTCCCAAAACGTGTCCATATGACATTACTGAACTTCAAAAACATATCTAGTTGATAAAAGGCGCCCAATCGTGACTATTTTATAAACAACGTCCAAACGTGTCCAATCCCCTAAACGTGTCAAATGAAAGCCCAAAAGTCTCCTTTTTGTAAACGACCAATGGTGTCCCTTTTTTAAAAAAAGCGCAAACGTGTCCTACCTATTGAATACATTGATTCTTATGTTGTCCTCCTAAACATGCATGAAATATTTGCCACTGGACTTAATCATCCAACAAACAATTAATGTTCGTCCTTAATATGCATGAAATATACAATTGCCACAAAATGTTAATCAAGCAAAATTCAGTTAATTCATTATTTTCTGTTCATCGATAATTACCTCTTTAGCGATAAATCTAATTGTGACAGTTAAAAAAAGATGATGGCCATTTAAAATGACTTAGATTCACATCTTGTAAGTTATGCATACTGTTTCTAATTAACGTTTTTTCACGTTAACTTTAAGTGCATTAATACTTGTATTTTTAACGATTATAATTAAAAGGCTGGCCATCGTTTCACAAAGAATCGTACGATTTACGTTTACGATTAAACTTACGTTAAGCGTAAGATTTTACCTACGAGTGTTTCACAAAGGTGATTGTAAACGTAACGTAAACGTAACGTAAACTTACGATTACAATGAAAAATGGGTGCTTTCTTTGACAGCCGCGTTCATGTCTAAAAAAAGAATCGTTCTTTCAAAACCAGGAAGAACATTCATATCATCGTAGTTTGAAATGGTTTGTTTGTATGGTAAATAGGTTTTGTGAGGTAAACATGGTAAGTATACCGTCTAGTTTAAAGATGTTTTTTTGCTTTGGTTTTATTAGAAAAAAATGGCTGGTGGTGGTTTTTTTTTCAAGCCGAGCGTCTGTTTTTTGCTGTTGTTGAAGAATGATGAAGTCATAAAAAAAAACCAGACAAATACATTAGGACTTCGACATTTCTTGAATCCAAATCAATATGATTTTTTATCCTGCAATCAGCCAACTATTGTACAAATAACAGGTACACAAATAAATGTTTGCTTTATTTGTACTTGTACAAATAAAGTCTCCTGTTACCCCTCTTACATGTTGAGCAAGCGGTACTGTGGATATTTCTTTTTGCGTACCAATTCATTTTGGGGTCCTCTTCGCGGTCCGCGTTTACACTATGTCGATTTCTTTGAAAAATTAGAGACAATGATTAGATTTTAACAACTAAAGTTTCAAGTGTTGGGTGTAAATTTCAGGATAAAAACAATATATGTACATTGTCGGAAAATATAAAATTTATTTGTACTCGCTGCGAAACAGGAGAAAAGCTCGGCGAGCCTCGCTTTTCGTCCTGTTTCTAAAGCTCATACAAATAAATTTTATATTTTCCGACAATGTACATATATTAAAATTGAGAATGGAAATGGGGAATGTGTCAAAGAGACAACAACCCGACCATAGAACAGACAACAGCAGAAGGTCACCAACAGGTCTTCAATGCAGCGAGAAATTCCCGCACCCGGAGGCGTCCTTCAGCTGGCCCCTAAACAAATATATATACTAGTTCAGTGATAATGAACGCCATACTAACCTCCAAATTGTACACAAGAAACTAAAATTAAAAATAATACAAGACTAACAAAGGCTAGAGGCTCCTGACTTGGGACAGGCGCAAAAATGCGGCGGGGTTAAACATGTTTATGAGATCTCAACCCTCCCCCTATACCTCTAGCCAATGTAAAAAAGTAAACGCATAACAATACGCACATTAAAATTCAGTTCAAGAGAAGTCCGAGTCTGATGTCAGAAGATGTAACCAAAGAAAATAAACAAAATGACAATGATACATTGTATATCTAAATGGTTAACACGAAATTATACGTATCTTCAAATGTTAATAATAAATGAACTGGTAAAAAATTCGTTAAGCATTGTGATTCTGATGTATGTCTAGGCTTTTTTAAAAGAGGAACCTACTGACAAGACAACATTAAGACTTGTAAAAAGTATCTGCATATTTTCATTTCATCTATTATAATGCTATGCATTTGCTACTGTGTCATCCAAAAATATGGTCATCAGAAATTTTTTTTAAAGCGTTTGGTAAAGCATTTTTTTATTTATTTTTATTATTTCCTATATTGTTCTATAAAAGAAACATTGTTTCTAAGTAATTCTGTAAAAAAAATATACATTAAAAAGTAAACGTTTTTTGAAACAGTAACAACACATTATTTACTAAAAGGATCGATTATATGTTCCTCTCTTGAACTCTGAGTAAACACAAGATATAGGTTAGGCCTTATTGAAACCTCCAATGACCATGGAGTCGATAAACTTTTATAACGGATAGTTAATTCAGCTTGAACATTTCAATTACTCATTTATTGTCACATATCTTACATATACATAATGTGTGATAGTAACCCCAAAATTTTGATATATTAACCTAAAAAGTAAAAATTTGGAGGACATTAGAGGTATAAATGGACCAATAGGGATCTTATATGAAAACAAAGAGGAACATTAGTAGTTTTTATCATCTTAGAAACCTCTCTGCTTTGGATTATTTTAAAACGGAAGCAGTTGAGATGGTGAAAAATTTTTACAATAAAAAATTCAATCTTCCATGCAAAAATTTAATGCGCTTGAAAAATCAGATGAAAATCAAAATCAAGCAGAATTAGACACTTATGAAGCTCTTGAAATGCAAGGTATAGGAGATGAGGAAATTAAATCTTCAGATGAGTCTGATTTGTTTGACTCTATAACTGTTAAGAGAGGGCTTACATAGGCTATGCCTGTTGCCCAATCCAATTCAATGTATTTGAATAAAATATCAATTAACATTCAATGTATTTGAATAAAATACTGTTTAAACTAAATAACTGTTAAGCTTTTAGGTCCTGAGGGTTATGTTAATGTGTGATCAGTCAGGGGCGGATCCAGCCATTTATGACCCGACAATTGTTCGTTCAAAGTTCACATTTAGGATTTTGTATATTTTTATAAATGTTAGCTTTTTATTGTTATTCCGAGTCCTCATTGCGTTTTAATAATTTATTAGTTTATTGTATTTTACGCTATTCAAAAGTTACTTGTATTTTACACTTAACTATAATCCTTTCATTCAGATTAATTATCAAAGATTTATATCCGTCTTTAAGATAAAAGGTTCTGTAACAAAGAACATAGATAATTTGACACTAAGTGATAACTGCCGAAAGCCATTCTTGACAAACTTATACGAAGCATGTTTTTAATCCGTAATCCCCGCTTTCGGCAAAACGCGAATTAATATTATTTGATGAAAAGATATTTGATTGGTTGATATTCCGCATGTCAATCAGTCTTTTGAATTTGTATTTTTAGATTTGTTTTTATGTTGTGAGGCAGTTATGTTTTAATGATTGAAATATATGGATGCGAAATAAATATGTAAACTTTCCAGCGACTTGGACTTTATTTAAGATACCGCTAGTTTCCCCCGAAACTAATAAATATGACAGAGGTGACCAACAACCTGGTCATATGTGGTGGAGGTTTAGACACACTTAGATTTAATTACATGTACTTTAAAGAAATTTTGAGAGAGAAAATTTTAGACGACAATTGTTCGTAATAGCGCGCTTGTAAATAATGTAAATAAATTTTGCTCTTTTTAATTTCTCCTCTATGCATTTTGAAATATTATTCGTTCATAATTTACACATGCTGATACGGGAGTATCAGATAAGGAGCGACGGGGTAATATGACCCGACAATTGTTCGTTCAAAGTTCACATTTAGGATTTTGTATATTTTTATAAATGTTAGCTTTTTATTGTTATTCCGAGTCCTCATTGCGTTTTAATAATTTATTAGTTTATTGTATTTTACGCTATTCAAAAGTTACTTGTATTTTACACTTAACTATAATCCTTTCATTCAGATTAATTATCAAAGATTTATATCCGTCTTTAAGATAAAAGGTTCTGTAACAAAGAACATAGATAATTTGACACTAAGTGATAACTGCCGAAAGCCATTCTTGACAAACTTATACGAAGCATGTTTTTAATCCGTAATCCCCGCTTTCGGCAAAACGCGAATTAATATTATTTGATGAAAAGATATTTGATTGGTTGATATTCCGCATGTCAATCAGTCTTTTGAATTTGTATTTTTAGATTTGTTTTTATGTTGTGAGGCAGTTATGTTTTAATGATTGAAATATATGGATGCGAAATAAATATGTAAACTTTCCAGCGACTTGGACTTTATTTAAGATACCGCTAGTTTCCCCCGAAACTAATAAATATGACAGAGGTGACCAACAACCTGGTCATACATTTATAAAAAGTGTGTGGGGGGTCCTAACCCAGGCTAAAGGGGGGTTCCAACGATATGTCCTCATTCAAATGCATTGATCGTCAGAAAAAGGGGGGTTCCAACCCCCAGAATCCTCCCCTGGATCCAGCACTGTCAGTGAACTCGATTTTTTGAGTTACATATACAGAATATAAATTTGTTAAATAGTGGTAAAACCATATTTTCATTTGTAATGCCCTTCTTTACTTAAAATATATTTTGAACCCCCTTGAAATATGTAAACTACTTATTTATGTGCCAAAAAAATGATCCACCCACTTTAAATTTATAAAAAAAATTGAACCCCCTCTTTCCACTTACAGAAAAAACATGACCCCCCCCCCTACATTTTAACCAGCCCCCTCCCAGGTAAAAAATGATAAGTCCCTAAATGTCTACGTATTTTTTATTATTTTTTTTTGTATCTGGGGGTTGTAGGTTTTCCAAGAATTTTTATTCATTCGAGTTATGTTAATTGATATTTTTAATTTGTGTATCTATAAAGGGCGAATCTTAACTCCCGCTGATGCACACCCGTTTGCCTTAATTACTTTACGATTGTGCTATGGCCGTAATTCAATGTAACTATAAAAAGAGATATCAAGAATATAAAAGGGTCGTCGCGGGGTTTCCTTCTCATCTGTTTTATTATTTTTTTTTTTTTCTATATTCTTTTTAAATTTTGCACATTATTCATAATTCTGTACATTATTCTCTGTCTTTATTATTTTGGCCTATTTTTCTCGATTCTTTATTTTCTTAATCCATTTTCTGTAATGTTAGCCCCTTATATTCTCTAATCTATAAACTCCATTCAGACCCTCTATAACTTTTTTTTTAATTACAGAACCAGTCAGCAGTTTGTTGCTAATCATTAATGTGAAATAAATAAATCGATGCATTAACAAGAAATGGTGCATGAATATGTGTCCATAGAACACCAATCCCCCATTCGCACTATACATATCCATGTTAAATTTGCATATTTTGTTAAACAGTTCTCTGCATCATGAGTTTCATTTTGATGTGATCTCAAAGTAACTTAAACTCAAAATTTAACCTCACACACGCTTTAACTGATATTTTATTGTAAAAAACTACTGTCAATTGAAATCTTGGTTAATCCATAAGAACAAGTGGCGATAAGGGTCTTTTTTAGACCCGTCGCAATTTTCATTTAATTTTTCATGTTTTAACCGTCGGGAAATCGTGACACTCTTGTATTTATTTTATATAAAATTGAGAATGGAAACGGTATTCTGTTTGTAGCAAGATGTATTATAGGGGTGTATTACACAAACTTAAGTGCATACTTTTTGGAAATTGTTTTTATATTCTAATTATTTTTTCGAATCAAACTCGAAGGAAAATGTCAAAGATACACAAAATCTCGTAGTATTCAAGTGAATTTTGTAACGTAATAGGGGTCTAGATGAACGAGTTGTTTAAGTTGTTCAACTACAATGTTCACTCTGAGCCTTTCAAGACTGCTCGTGGCTGTATTTTGACCTCAATTGACCTGGATTCGCACAGAGCAATAAAAGTTGCGTTAAACATCAAATAAATCAATCTCAATATAACGTAACGAACATCAAGAATCTCTTATGGAATACGATATATATATCCTTTGGTTTATGGAGAAATAGTTCATCATTATATTTGTTTCATAATCTCATACATCTACGCCATATCTAAATTCTTTAAATGATATTTACACATTTTGTCTCGTGCTATAGGTGGAGTCCATAAAATGATTTTTTTCCTGCATGAGGAGTATACTTTTACATTTCTGTCGTAACAATTGTCGTATATGAACTAATATACGTTTTGTCTTTCAACCCCCAATGAATCGACTGCCGGTGTAGATAAAGATTGTACTGCCTGATTCTCTCTCGTCAGGAAGTAAATCCCTCGCTGAAGTGGTCGTAAGTTCGGATGTGCTGGATGTATACATACGCTGTCATGTCCGCTTAATATGGAAAACGATGCCCCGTCACACAGTGCATACGAATTTCTACACTCTCTAAACAGTTAAGATTATTTGTTATTACATAATTATGGGTCTGTCGGTGGCAGAATGCAAGGCCAATTTTTTGCCTTATCCAATATGTCATCTTTTAAAGAAATGCATTTATACTTGCCAACATACCTTGCAAAATTGACATTTTCCTGTATGCATGAAATTTTGCCATTGTACAATTTCCTGCCAAGTAATGTAACAAAATATGTTGATGCAATTTACAGGATTATTTGTTAATATCTTTATTTGTAATTTGTTGACGTTCCCATCAATATGTTTTTTATACATAGAAGTACAATGATCGACGATGTTAGGGACTGTCTTAAAATTGTAATGAAATTGTCGAAAATATTTTTGACAAAGACAACCATATTTTTATGTATAGGAACAGTGAAAAGGATAAATCGAGAGGAACATCATGTTGAATAACGGAAAACAAACAGCAATAGCGAAATGAATATTAGTTCGAGCTGTTATATAACTACTATATAATTACAAAGAGAGGAAAATTAGAGGCTGCCTTGGTAAATTATCAAGTTGCTTCATTTTGATTGGGGGCTGGTCATTTGTAACTGAAGAGTGAATAATAATAATAATAATAATTAGTCTTGAGAACTTGATGAGGAGGGGTGAATTTTTATGTCTTTGAAAGTGGGGACTTGAATTTATTTTCTTTCATCAAGGTGGGAACTTGAAAAAATAGAGAAATTCCAATGTTTCCTTCCATCCACTTGAATGCTTGAAAATAAAAATCTTGTCACCTTAACAAAAAAAAAAAAACAGTTAGGATTTAAAAAAAATAGGATTTTCATGCCTACAACATTCTTACTGATTGGAAAATTAAATTTTATAGGTATAAACAAAAACAATCACATTATGGCAAAGTGAATGATCATACTTTTCAATTAAAACTAGAATTATAGAAATGTGTTAAATCAGAAAGAACATAACAGGTATTGAGTACGGGGTTGCAGCATACATTTAGACCTTTTAAAAAACGCGAACCTGATAGAGCGCATGGCAACTGGTGTATTTACATTGAAACTATGGATTCATACCATTACATTCATGTATTCAATTATTGTTTTCTCAATTTCTAAACTGTTATTTGTTTTAAATAATCGTAATGTATTTACAAAAATTTCTATTCAATAAAGGGCACCGTCAACCGCGGAAATAGTGTATAACCACAGGACTACAATAGATAGGAAATGATTGCAATTTTAGCTTAGCATAAATATTTATTGTCAACTTCATAAACCTCCGTGTAAAACGTGAGTGATAGTATGACATAGATTTGAGAACTAGTAAATAAGCGTTTCTAATTTTCTTGTGTGAGAATATTTTGTACAAATTGTAGTACAGAGTTATGTGCATGCACGACGTATCCCTTCATGAGTTATCAAATCTGAAAGCACATACATGTATCCCTGGCTGTATATAGTGCTGTGCTAGCTCAGTCACTTATAAGTTTTTATGGTCAATTATTTGAACTTTTGGAAGCAAGGACAAGGTGCTCGATCGTTTAATTTAAATGAAAATAAACTCAAATTTAGGAATGGTTTTACGATTATTTCAGGAATTAAACAAATTCAGTTACTTATGATTGGGACAAAATAATATGAATACATGTATTCTGATTAACTAATGGAACTTAATTTTTTGTAAGAAAATTTGATGTTGTTGATTTTAACCAAATGCCAACAGGTTAAATCGCTACGATTTGACTTACGACTGCCTGTTAACACTCGTAAGTTTACGACCAAACTTACGATAAAATTCTACTTACGATTTTTTATGAAACGGTCAAAAACTTACGATTTGACCTACGACCGACGTAAGATCTAAGATTGTCGTACGATTTTTTGTGAAACGATGGCCTGGTATCTGGGATGCTTGTGATACATGAAAAGTTATTTCTCTTTTTCGTGTCTTTTTAGTGAATAACCGTAAACGTTATTGCCGTCGCTGAAAGTTTTGAGACGTTCTGGAGTTTTAAAGGGGACACGTTTTGGCGAATAACAATTATCTGACACATTTGGAGGATATGAAATTGGACACGTTTGGGTAATATTCTTTGGTGTACGCTGCGACGCCATTTTGTTTTTAAGGACGCCCTAACGTTTACCGTAACTGGTACAAGAAAACGTCAATGATAATGGGTTGGACATATGCCGTTTGCCCAAATACATTCCAGAAATTCTTTTTCAGAATTCCAAAAAACAAATTACGAAAAAGTGGTTAAGTGCCTTAAACTTAGAGGAAGAAAACGTAAATACGGCAACAAGAATTTGTTCTTAACATTTTTTCGCTGGTGAAAAAGTTCTGTGAAATGGTATCCCCGACCTGTCAGTTGGCAAACAAATTGGAAAAAAATGTGAACGCAAAACTCAAAAGATAGAAAAAAAATCTAAAGTAAAGCTAGATAAACCAGAAGCAGATGATAATTCAACTTTCTTTCACAATGAATCTCGGTCTCAATTACCTTTACTGCCTTCTGGTGACGATTGTCAATCAAACCCCACGGCCACGGAAAATGAAATAGAACAGAACAAACTGAAAGAGAAAATACGAGATCTAGAAAAAGCGCTAGAACAAGAAAAAAACATGACTATCTTATCAAATGAAAAACATATGCTCAGTAATAAACTATTCAGATATAACAATTTCAAGAACAGTGATACAAAGATAAAAGAATTAACTGGCTTACCTGATAACCACACATTTGAGATACTATTTACACTATTTGACAAACCTAAACAGTATTGGTCTTATGATAAGAAGAATTTGGATGGAAATTTAGGTAGACAGAGAGCTTTATCAGCACAAGACGAGTTTTTTTATGTATTTACTGAGACTACGACAAGACATAAGTGAAACCGTTCTTTCTTCTATGTTCAATATTTCAATATCTTCTGTTTCGTGTGTTTTGTCAACATGGGCCTGTCACATCAAATCAATATTTTCAAAAATTAATATGAACCCTACAATGGACGAATAACAGACATTATGTCCCCCTGATATACTTAAAAAATTTCCAAACTGCGCTATGATTTTGGACTGTACAGAATTTGAGGTTGATGAGCCTAGTGAACTTGATAAACAGTCGGTATTTTGGTCCAAATATTGGAGTCGTCATACGGCGAAGGTATTAGTTGGTTGCACTTTTTGGGGGTCTTTATCTTTCATCTCCGACCTGTTCCCTGGGAGCCGAGGTCATACATCAAAGCAACATGAAAGACACTATTTAAAAAGTATTTTATAACCTTGTTTCCACGAGACAATCATTTGTAGTGGTTTTTGTCTTTTAATCATTTGTAGCGTTTTTTGTCTTTTTATTCTGGGGTAAAGAGATGGCAATTTAAAAGTACAGAATTTGAGGTTGATGAGCCTAGTGAACTTGATAAACAGTCGGTATTTTGGTCCAACTATTGGAGTCGTCATACGGCGAAGGTATTAGTTGGTTGCACTTTTTGGGGGTCTTTATCTTTCATTTCCGACCTGTTCCCTGGCAGTACAACAGATGTTGAAATGTGCCAAAACTGGCAAAAGTCAGGCTTGTTAGATAATATTAAATCTGGCGAGGTATACATGGCCGACAAAGGTTTCACCCTTCAGAGACAGTTTCAGGAAAAGGGTGCGCAACTTCTGGTTCCTCCGTTTGCCAATAAAAATAAGAAACAATTCAACCCACAGCAGGTCGAAAAAACAAAGCACATAGCATCTACCCGCATTTTTGTAGAACAGGCGATAGGAAGAATTAAATCGTACATATTCTTAACCAGGAGAATTCTGATATCTTCGTGATTCACTGATTGGCTTCAATACATATACAAAACATCGCTTACCTTACAAATTTCCAACGTGCATTTGTCACCGCTGCAGATCCAATACTTGTCGCTCACCGTAAAGTGCTCATTGAAAAGTTTTGCAAATAGCTTTTAAATGAAAGCGAAGAAAACACAGAGGAAAACATAGAAGCATTTTATATTACAGAGCCCATTGTAAATTTAGAAAACGTCTGTGACGGTGACCCTGACATTCCTGAGATTGACGTCAGAGTGTATGACGCTAGTGCTTGGGTTAGTCGACTTGTTAATTGAAGGGGAGATTGAAGCCGAGGAATTGTACAGCATATGTTAATCTGCAGATCTCCAATCCGAAAACATTAAAGAGATAAATAATACCTCTAAACTTCACTCTTTGTCTATCATTAGCTAATATTAAGAATGCAATATTCAAACATTGGTCATAAGAAATAATTACTTGCAATACAGAGTTAAACTGAAATCTGAATAGCAAACATATCATGCTGAAATAGACAACAGCAAACAAACAAACAATCAAACATACAAACAATAGCGAAAATTGAAAAAAAAAAATTCATACATAGCAATCAGCAACAGAAAAAGAAAAGATTGGAACAGATAATTATACATTTGATTAAATGATATCTCCATCTATTTTCCCGATGATTTAATTTAGAACTGGACTGAAATTTAGTTATAAATTGTACTGTGATAACGGGGTAACGGCCCGCATTATAGCATCATTTGAAATGCACATTTTTCTCTTAAAAAAAGTTTATGAATATTTGATATATAAAATCAGTCTCATGTGTAGTCATTAAAATTGTTAGAAATGAATAGAGATATTTCAATAATAAAAAAAGATCAGCACCCTCCCTACATTATATACATGCATTGGTTGGTCAGAATGAATATTTGTTTCTTGGTTGGCACGAGAATATATTCAGTTTTACATATAGTTACCTGCAGCGTCATACATGTCACAGTAATTTATTTTTATCCAATTTTGCAATACTGTTTACCTATAATTATGAACCAGCACGTAACCAGTTTGGTGAAAAGTAACAGATGAAACCGCCAGTCGAGTATATGAATAATAGAAATTGATAAAGAATATTTCAATGC